TCTCCTTTCTCTTCCTTCCATTTCCTCTCCAACTGAACTGATCTATCTTCTCCCCAACCAAGCGAGAGGAAAAAGAGAGAAAAGGGAAGAAGGAGAAAGGAGAGGAAATGGAAGGAAGAGAAAGGAGAGGAAATGGAAGAGAGATCAGAGGAAATGGAAGAGAGAGAAGGAACAAGGAGATTAGTTTGATAGAAGGATACAGAAGGATTACGTTTATCTCAAGAGATATTACGGGATGTCACTTTGAGGGACGTCCATCATTTTACGTAAGCTCAATGATATTATAATGATGTACTTCTGATCTGTGCCATATCGAAGGGCATTGCTTGAGTGTTGCCAACTCGATTAGCCTATTATATCTACTTAATATGCTCCTTGACCGCATGTCATAGAAAAGAACGTTCATCGCTTGTTACGCATTGGAATATCTCATCTTGTCAAAGGAGTATGTTCTGCCATATAAAAGGATGTCCATCGCTTAGTGCGATCTCAATTTGTCTTCTCTTGTCTGAATAGTATGTCCCTTGGCACAGTCGGCAATACTTGAATATCACATGTACCTTGTTGTTTATTTTCGAAAAGATAACCAAGACATGCACCGAGTAAAAAATAAGAAATTAAATAGGCAGCTTCGGCCATAGCACCACGTACATACATCTGTCGTATGGAACGTGATATTACAGAAAAGAATGGTAACCAGACTCGTTTGTACCATGAATATGTTTCCAGTGGTTGAATAGTTCTGTTATTATCTACTCTATGATTATCTATGTGATGTTGAACTCTTGTTAGCATAATAAAGCAAGTATCACAATCGTTGTGTCTTGGTTGTGGGCATTGGTGTGGATCTGAAGAAAAAAGTTTTTTTCTCAAATATCTTTTTGCTCGTGCGCGTGAACCTTGATAAGCTAAACAACATAATGGTGTTAAAAAGAAGATATCATCAATTTTTTCGAATAATTCTTGACTTGGTTGATGAATAACCGTTATAATAGTAACTGGTCCAGCTAAACTGTATTTAATTAATTGTAATAAATCAAATAAATCATCACATGATACTGTATCTAAACCTGATGTTGGCTCATCAAGAAGAAGTACTTTTGGACAAGCAGCTATTTCCATTGCCACATTCACTCGTTTTCTTTGACCTAAAAGTAAATATATTTCGAACAGCCGTAAGAGAGTCACTTGTGTCAATCGCAGGCTCAATAGTGATCATTCTTTCCTTTTTTCCTACCTCCTGATAAAGTTCTTGTCATACTGTTGTGCATACGATCTAAACCCAATCTGTCAAGAACGAAACAAACATCATTGATGATAGTTGTTTTCGATTCGGCAAGGCGTCGTGTTCTTGCAGAATAATAAACAGCTTCGAATACAGTTAGATCGTTATGCATGATATCTGCTTGAGGTACATAACCAATATAATCGGTTAATTGATTTGATAATGGTTCGTGTTCAGCAAATGTAATAGAGCCATTTCTACGTAATCTTCGTCGACCATGAATTGTTTCTAGAAGGCTACTCTTACCACATCCAGAACCGCCCATTAAGGCTGTTAATCGGCCAGCAGTAATTTGACCTGTAAATCCTTGATTTCGTTTCGAATCAAAACGAGTAACATTACGTAATTTTGCACCATAAAGATGAATATTAAGTTGAAATTGTGGCATCGAACGATTTGATTTATCACTTTTTATAAAATAGTCACTTATACCAGGAGGATCGACTAATTTAAGTTCACCAAAAACTTTCTTTTGTAATATGAGCCATTGAGAAATAATGGCCATACATGTATAGAGAACTATGATAAGAAGGACAAGAACAACAACAATTGTTATGAGACGTTGTCGTCGGGCTATTCCATTTATACAGACAAAACCGGATGGACAAGGTAATGGCTTCTGGACACCAGTCGGACAATAGTTTGTATCATTCGGACATGGAATGCTTGAGCTCGAATTTTGACAGTAAGATTCAGCTGGACAGAAACCTTCGAATGCTGATCCGCCACATCCGTACTGACCAAAATGTTTTGGCTCATTTTCTGGACATTCAACTGTAGTTCTACAGGTTCCATCTATTGCTTGTAATGGTGACGGACAATAGGAACCTTCTCGACAAGGAATCATACAGACTTGTCCTTCTGGGCAAAAATAACCAGGACAACAGGCCAAAGATTGACTTCCATCTCTTGGTAGAAAAAAGCCTGCCTGACATGGTTTTAGATCTCGACCACATTCATTAAAATTGTACCATGTAATAACAGCTTGTTGAGAACTTAAATAAAAATCTTCAGTCATATTGCGAGGACAAGTATTTTGTGCGACAAACGTCTCATTGAGACATAAATTACCGGCTGAACATTCTTCATTGAAACTCCACTGTGTTTGACTTTTGTTCGGTTGACATTGTAGACAAGATAAACTGCCATTTAATCGTATCTGATTTTGTTCGTAACATTGACCCCCAATAAAGCAACACGTCTCAGCAGTGATACACGTGTTATTTTCACAGCGTCGACAAGTTGCATTGCAGCCTTCAGTTTTAGTACACGGCGGTAACAACAAGCGTTTCTTTGATAGAGTTAAAATTCTATGATGAGTAGGAAATGATGGTATGGCACTAACATGAACGAATACAATAAACAAAAGAAGTACCACTGAAATCGATGGCAATGACATGCTGTTCTCTCAGTCTTGATTTGCGTGAATGACTATGAAGAAGTTGCTGCTTTTTCAGATATTGATTGTCGTTTTATTTGCTTGTACACCTAATAAATTTGTGTTGGCGCGTGACTTTGGTATATATTACATCAGATAAGGCGAACAAATATTGGCTAAATAGTTTGTTGTCAGAAACTGAAACGCGTCAGAAAAATCGTGACTTGACTCGGCCTACGTTCCTGCAGATTCCTACTCGACTCAAAAAGAACGTCATTACTTCCGTCTTTCATTAAGCCAATACAACCAATGTGCAAGAGCACGTATGAAGGAATACAAAGAGGAAGAAAACAACTGTAGGTGTCAAATGATCATACCACACGTCAGTGGTGTAGCGGTAAACACATTTGTCTCATAAGCAAAAGACCCAGGTGCAAATCGATCTTTAACTGCGCATTCAAATTCGACATGATTCTATTTCTTGCTTCATAAATTCTCTGTAGTATTTGAACAATATCATTCGACTCCTGGTTGGCGTTGTCTTCTTTTTCTTTCCGATTACTGTATGGTACGTTGTGCAATATTCTCCCCTGTCTGTCGCAAGACACCACGAAATAAAGAATCGGAAGAAAAACATGTTCTGTTCTGTTCTTTTTTAAACTCAATTTTTATTTTTATGCAGAATCGAAATTCTATGTGTATTGCAAAGTCTCTTTGAAAACTTGATCGCATCTGCTCTCATGACGCTGCATTCCTCTCACCACTGTCGAATGTCATTTGAAGTTGGCATCAAAAGACATTCTCAAATGAATGATGTAATTGCATTTTGATGGAACGTGGATAGCGAGACTGATAGAAAAGAGAAAGTCTTTTGAGAACATTTCTAGAAGATTAAGAAGTCAGCATAATAGCGGCATAAAGATAGATCCAAGACGTATGCTACAAGATAGAGAAAAAACATCTCCACATGAAACTAATCTATATTTCATTTAGGAGTGCGGCCTTGGCGCCGTGTGACGGGGTAAGCTTAAGTGATTCAGTATGTGTCCTGGTTGACTACAGCTACTAAGAATCAAGAATCGCCTGATCTGTTCAAGATAGAAGACATGTCCAGCGGATACCTGCAATGTGAGAGGATTGAAAGATCGTGGTGTCATTTGCTCGGAATTAGAATTCAATTTTAACAAACAAATGAGTGTTGTGGTATCAGGTCAACTTGTCGCGCCCAAATGATGACACTGATTCCGGAAAAACTACCTGAATTGTATTTACGTTGGTTTTAATAATTTTGTACAAAAGAAAATCGCCTCTTTTTTACAGTCATTTTCTAAGACACGCTTCAAACGAACAGTCCAAGGTGAACAATTTTGTAAACAACATTTTGGTTGAAGCGTGTTTTAGAAAGTCATGGACATTATTTAAACAAATCAAAATACATGATTTTGTCGAACATCTCAAGACGAATCTTTTGAAAAAATAATAAAGTCTGAACAAACGAATATTAAGAGAAATATCTTCAAAATACTGAGAGGGCCATTCTTTCTTGGACATCCGTTATTTTTTTGATACAAGATGAATTCGTTTTTTCTTATTTCGTCTTCTTATTACCTGATATATGTTATTAAAAGAAATACACTACAAGATGCAGCGTGAAAAGCTCTACGATTTACAAATGACAATTATAGAAAGTTAAAGTAAGAAAATAACAAATTCATCTTGTACCAAAAAATGCATCATTTTCTCACTATCGAAATTTGGTCGCTCAAAGTTTCGTCCATTTCGAAAACAATAAGTGCGACTATGATGGGCCACCCTGTATAACGTCGAATAGTATAAATATTAAACATTGTACTCAGGCTAGATGATCTTACTTTTTTCGGCAAGTATTTAATAGAAAAATGTATTTTATTCTTGATTAAATAGATTACATGAATTAAGCAGATTATACAATGTGAAAGTTCATATTAATTCATAGGAATTGTTTCTGTTTTTTTTCTGGCATCATTTTCCATTCTGACCATCTGCATAACAGCCACAGTACGGTAATTGCGTACCACATGGGACTTTGGGGCTAGAACAGCAAGGACGACAATTCAATGGGACATTGTTTAGATGTTGCCAGCACGAAGTTGTCACCATCGGACAATGAACTGCCGTATAATAGCACCACTTGCCTCCATTCGGATTACATAATTGATAAAAACAGTCAGGATGACATTGAATCTGTGAACCAACAATTCCACCACCATGAGCACACGTTAGCGAACTTCTTGTGTAAGGAGAGAACTGGTATTTATTGTTGCCAACTGTTAAGCCACTGAGGTAATTCCGTGCTGAATAATACAAGTTTTCTTCTACGCTATCAACCCAAAATGTCGGAAAACCAGCACAAGCCGTTTGCATTTCTTTTCGAAGATGAGAAAGATTCGTCAGAGGCTCTCTTGTTTCCAAACGTACAACCCTTGTATGTTGCATACTTGATGAATCCAATGGGCCACTTTGACGTTGATTTGGATTGAACGAAATTGGCTTTGTCCCTGGATCAATTTTTGATAGCTGACACTTTCGTTCACTGACCAATTTGACTAGTTGGAAATCATTTTCAAAATCGAAAAATAATTCAGCTTCCTCCAAATCTCGGTGTGCTGGCACATGAACAATCTGAAGGCCATCCTTGAATGTCACTTCTTGTTTAACAGTAGATTCGGGACCTAGGTCGTATTGGGGCTTCATGATTTGGACTGGATGTTGTGCAGTTATCTCAAGTTGAGATAACAGCACAAGATTCAGTGCTAATCATGTATCCCCAGTACAATCCAGGTCCCGGATCTAGACGAATCCCCAGTACAATCCAGGTCCCGGATCTAGATGAATCCCGAATCCCCCGAGTCCCGAAACTGAACCGAATCCCGAACCCCGAATCCCGAAACTGGAACGAATCCCGAATCCCGAAACTGCATCGAATCCCGAATCCCGAGACTGGAACGAATCCCGAACCCCGAATCCTGAAACTGGAACGAATCCCCGAATCCGGAGCCCGAATCTTCGGGTAAGATTCGGATTCGATCCATGCCTACTCAGGGGGAAAATTACGAAATTTCTTTTTGGAGAGAAATGTTATGATTTAATTCTGCCATCGCTTCTTGTTACAGAGAATGCTACTCAACGTGTACATATTAGCATTCATTCATAGATGTTGTTTGCCCTGTTATTTGTCCATATCAGTTTCATTATCAGCTCGAGAAAGTATGATTTTTACATGATTTCATTACTTTCTCTTTTCAGAGGGCAGGCACATGCAGATTCACGTCGACTCATCTGAGCAAGTTCTATCGTCATCATCTTAGCAACACTCGCTTTAAACTGTCTTATTGTGTTCAATTTCACTTACACATATTGCCGTCTTCAGACTACTTTTTCGGTTTCATGCTTGTCGATTGATCACTTTATTCTAATAACATGAGAGGGTGGACTATCGCTTATATCACGCCTTTAGCATTTTCATGGTAAATCTATAAATCTTATATAATTCTCAGCTTTTACTCTGGAGAGGGCTACTTGTCCATGAAAGATGCCTCGCTAAATGATCTCTATTTAGCTGCATCCAAGTCATTTGCACATTTACTCGATACAATACCGTTACTGTTGGGCATGAGCAAAGAATACAGTTCTGTTTGCATCATACCGGTCCAAGATTACTCAGCGATTTCATTGCGTCGGCTTTTGTCGCTAGCCAAGGGCATGGTAGATAATCACCCCAGAATCGCGTAAAGTTTACGTTTGGTCCTAATGGAACTGACATAATCTGTTGATTTCTAGCATCGCTATTGGAGTACCAGACGGTTGACCCAACCCACACAGTATTTATATGAGTTGACATATCCAGTCTCTAACCATTATTGAATTAGTAGTATCTCGAAGAACAGAGTCATAACGAAATCATTTTTGAGAGTGCGAAGTTTGAGAACAGAAATTGGAGCAATACTACCAAGAATGATTTTGTCTGGTTGATGGAATAGTCCAACTCCCACTATCACTTGTGTTGCTTTCGGACACTGACTGGTGATATTGGAGAGAATGCTTTCCGACACACTAGCAGTATAATAATGGGAAAAGTGAACAAGATTCCAGCCCTGTCCGGCGGTGTAATTTTGTAGAATTTTGCTAAATCCGTCAACACTCCAGGTCAAAAAATCCGACGACACCACCTGGGATTTCCCATGGGAAAACTGTGTCTACGAATTCTTATGGGAAGTTGTCGAATTTTATCGGAATTATAAGGCATTTTATTGGATACCATTATCGGAATCTGGGATTTCGATGATGGTATCCAATAAAATGCCTTATAATTCCGATAAAATTCGACAACTTCCCATAAGAATTCGTAGACACGGTTTTCCCATGAGAGAGATGACCATTTCCCATACCCAGGCAGACAAAATTTTTCGAAAACGCGTTTAAACGCTCTAAAATTATGGGCGTTTTTGGATGACAATCGCGGTTCCCGATTGTGCGTTTACACGCATGAAAATATTGAGCGTTAACACGCGTATTTATTATGGAGTCTAAATATTTTTGCCGTTTAAACGCACAATCGGGAACCGCGATTGGCATCTGAAAACGTCCACAATTTTTCCGCGTTTAAACGCTCCATTTCGCATGCTTTTCGCCGTCTATGCGATCACTATTAATAAACGTTTTGATAAATATTATTTTTGCCGTTTAGACGCACAATCGGGAACCGCGATTGGTATCTAAAAACGACCACACTTTTTTGGCGTTTAAACGCTCCATTTCGCTCGCTTTTCGCCGTCTATGCGATTACTATGATTGTTTCATCAATCATGCTGCCACTGACGTTCATCATCTCGATCCCCTTACCGACAGGAAAGACGATGAACACGAAACAGTGCAACGCGTTGAAAACAGTCAGCGCAATCGGATCTATGCCGAAAAAAACGAAAAAAGGAACACAACTAGAGCCGGACGGGGTCCAAAAATAAAAATTTTCGGGATCGGGGTCGGGATCGGGGTTTAGGCGACGGGGCGGGGTCGGGGTCGGGGTTAGCGTTTCGGGTTCGGGGTGAACTATTTCTCGATAATTTCTCAATTTTTCATGGACTTAAGTAAGAAAATATAATTGTTTTAGTCTCCTAAGAATTAGAACAACACAAAATACAAGAGAGAAATAAAGAAAGGAGATTTTTGGTTCATTACCATTACGACATTGTCATCTTGATTTCTCTTTTCTACAGTTAACGTTGATTGCTCATTTTCTTCTACTACCATTCTTTTCGGCATTTGATTTTCTTGAATATTTTTGTCCAACTCTTTCTACATATCTAGTTTTTTGAAGAAACAGCAATTTCATTTATTTCTCTGTCCCTGAATGGATGCGACTATCCAAAACGATAAATTTCGTCGGCGAAAATAGACCTTCGATTTCTGTGTTAGCCGCCCGTATAGCCAATAACTGCGGAACGCATCAGTTTTCTTTTTATCCTTCAGTTCAGCATGAATTATTCGAGTAAATATTTGTCGCTATTTATGGGAAAAAAATTTCGGGGTCGAGCGGGGTCGGGGTCGGGGTTGACATCGACCCCGCGAGGTCGAGATCGGGACCCCGAAGAAAAATTTTCAGTATCGGGGTCGGGATCGGGGTTAACATGTCGGGGCGGGGTCGGGATCGGGGCCGAAAAAGTCGACCCCGTCAGGCTCTAAACACAACAGAAAACGAATGATTGTTTTATCGATCATATTGTCACTGCTGTTCATGATCTCGATCCTCTTACCGACAGGAGAGACGATGAACACGAAACAGCGCAACGCGTTGAAAACAGTCGGCGCAATCGGATTTATGCTAAAAAAAAGGAACACAGCAGAAAACGAATGATTGTTTCGTCGGTCATATTGTCACTGCTGTTCACCATCTCGATCCCCTTACCGACAGGAGAGACGATGAACACGAAACAGCGCAACGCATCGAAAACAGTCAGGGCAATGACATTTGTCGAAAAGGAATTACTTTTGATGATAGAGTTAGATACAGTGATGAAAATGGATGTTCGACGATGGGAAAGACGTAGAGTATTCGGGAAATTTTAGTGGGAAGAGCGAAGTAAATCGATTAGGTAAGACGTGGTGACGATATTGGAAATTGTTAGAAAGACAAAATGAAAATGATCATTCGGCTGAAGCAGCGATTCTTTAAGTTTTCTATTGTAGAGATGTTTATGCTCCCTATGTATGATGTCGCTAGTTGTCGCTGACTGTCATTTGGCGCAGCTAGAGCTTCTAAACGCTTTCTACTTAGAAAGATATTATTTGGCATCGGAGTATTCAGTGTTTTCTGAAAAATCGCGTTTCTATCTAATAGACGTCCGTAGTTCTAATGGACACACGAATTCTCCCAATATTGGGGGCAGCCTCGATGCCAAATTTTGGACACCTAGGTGGAAAAATGCCAGGAATCTCTCAAGAGGTATGGCACGTTCAAAGCGGATTTTTTTCAGTGATGCGGTATATCATAGGCAAGCGCTTGCTCCACAGAACAGTTGGTCGTGAATAGTTTCGTTTCGTATGCCGGGCCGTCTAAAACTCACTTTGACAGTGCGCTTTTAATAAAATGAATATATTGTACTCATCGCTAATTAAACGAAATATTTGTTTGTTTTCGATACAGATCTAAAATATTTTCGCGTATGCTTAATCCTACTTCGAGAAAAGCGAGAAACTTTAGATAAAGAGTGCCATCTATAGGGGTTGTTTGACTATTTTCTTGGCGATGGACGAAGAATTTGCTTCTATCATTTTTCTTTCAGAGACGATAACCGTAAGTGAGCGAACAAAGATCACTTGTATTTCTTTCAGCTTACACGCATTCTGTCAATAGCTTCCATACCTGCAAGGCTTATTTTGTAAAATAAATTTTCTCCCAACCGAACTTGGCTTTGAACTGAGAGTGACAGTAAGAGCGCACAAAACCCTCTAAATCTTGTCATTCTGGGAATGAACAAGAGAATATATTGAGATAAATGGCACAAAGTGACTCTATTGAAAAACGAAAAATCAAAGCTCTGCGCGTTTGTGGATCCAACGAATAGTATTCGGTTTTTAAGGCTAGAATATTATAGACAAATGATCAACGCTGCGTCCTGTAAATACTTCACCATAAAAGATAGTTTACTCAAAATGCAATTCAGCATCGGATACGGCCCGCGAGAATTTCAATTTTGTACCAGAAAACATGCATAGTTGATGTTCTATTATGAGAAAAACGACTCCTAAAAACGACGAAATACATCGGTTTCCTTCATTGTAGGATAGAAATATTTGCGCGAAAAATCGAACTAGAATCCCACATTCTAATTTTCTCTAAAAGTTCCAATCATCAAGGAAGTAAACACGCAAAACTATTCAAGGGAATATATATATATAAAACTTTCCATAGATTCTTCGCCATTCTAGCTTTCCATCGTGAAACCGATGAAAATTTCAAGCGAAAATTTGGTAAAAAATATTGTTCGAAAAACGTTTAAATAGTTCTCTTCCGAGGCATCGGCACGACCAGTAATTTGTGTCGTGTTCACGTTAATAAAAACTCTTTCTGAAAACGCACCAAAGATTGACTTTTAAAGCGTTTATACGCCTGAAAAATAAGTGGGCGTGGAAACGTTGAAATAACGACGATTTTGCTCGTGTACACGGTTATAAAAATTGGAACTACAAAATAT